AAAAAAGCATCTTGAGTTTCTTTAATAACAATCACGATAATAACGTATAGTTATTATTAAGATCCTGCTGGTAAGGTTAACAGGCACTCAATCAGTCCTCGAGATAAGCTTCGTATTTGCATAAAATACGCATTAAATAAACTGAAATAGGCACACAAATCAAGTCCTAGTGTATCAAATACGCAAGAAAAACTATAAATACGCTATTGAAATAAAATTTGTGCAAATATTACAGCTATTTGATAAAACGATTGCGTATACTACAACTGTTAGATAAAATTATTGTGTGTCAACTAATCACGAAATTTACTTACCGACAGTTACAGTCGGAAAAGCTTGTGCAACGAACATACTGATAGATGCCAATTGAAAAGCACATTGTGCCTAGTCAATGTACATGTTGTATCTTAAACAGTTGCTGATTGGTGATAAAAAAAAATAACCCCTTTCTAACAAGGCTAGGTTTTGCAAACAAAAACAGCTTCCCTGAGAGGGAAGTGCAGATGGAATTATCTCTTCTTCATATAGTTATCCCCCGCCGCGCGAAAGCGCGAAGCGGGGGATATAGTATTCACGACCGTCCGTCCGTACGTCCGTCTGTCCGTACGTCCGTCCGTACGTCCCACCTGTTTGTTGCCGCGATATCTCAAGAACTAAACACTGGATTGTCTTCATATTTGGAACTATGGTGTATATACAGACTCCGCAGACACCAGTCGGTTTTGGTGACCTTGATCCCATTTTCAAGGTCACAGCAGACAAATCTGCTTTTAGAGTTGGAAAACGGTGTTGCCGCGATATCTCAAGAACTAAACACTGGATTGTCTTCATATTTGGAACTATGGTGTATATACAGACTCCGCAGACACCAGTCGGTTTTGGTGACCTTGATCCCATTTTCAAGGTCACAGCAGACAAATCTGCTTTTAGAGTTGGAAAACGGTGTTGCCGCAATATCTCAAGAACTAAACACTGGATTGTCTTCATATTTGGAACTATGGTGTATATACAGACACCGCAGACACCAGTCGGTTTTGGTGACCTTGACCCCATTTTCAAGGTCACAGCAGGCAAATCTGCTTTTAGAGTTGGAAAACGGTGTTGCCGCGATATCTCAAGAACTAAACACTGGATTGTCTTCATATTTGGAACTATAGTGTATATACAGACTCCGCAGACACCAGTCGGTTTTGGTGACCTTGATCCCATTTTCAAGGTCACAGCAGGCAAATCTGCTTTTAGAGTTGGAAAACGGTGTTGCCGCGATATCTCAAGAACTAAACCTCTCGATTGTCTTCATATTTGGAACTATGGTGTATATACAGACACCGCAGACACCAGTCGGTTTTGGTGACCTTGACCCCATTTTCAAGGTCACAGCAGGCAAATCTGCTTTTGGAGTTAGAAAACGGTGTTGCCGCGATATCTCAAGAACTAATCGCTGGATTGTCTTCATATTTGGAACTATGGTGTATATACAGACACCGCATACACCTGTCAGATTTGGTGACCTTGATCCCATTTTCAAGGTCACAGCAGGCAAATCTGTTTTTGGAGTTGGAAAACGGTGTTGCCACAATATCTCAAGAACTAATCGCTGGATTGTCTTCATATTTGGTACTATGGTGTATATGGCGGGGGATATTTCGTCACTCTGTGACAAATACTTGTTCTAAATGATTTACAGGGATTGTTACGAAACAGGTTTTCAAGTTAAAATACCCGAATGTCAAGAAACAGCTGCATGAAACAAATTTGAATACCCTCCAGAAGTTGTGGATACCCAAATCAAAATCAAACCCCTGGGTAAAATACCCAAATAACCAAAGGCTTACCTCGAGCTCTTCCCAATAGAAGGAGATAGTGTTGCCATTGTAACCTTGCAATATCAGTTAATATTACACTGTATTCTATATATGCCAGGCTCTTATTGCTTGTTTGAATGATTAATGGATTATTTCAGAACTGATGAGAAATGGCATATCTGCACCTTTTGTGTCACTATAGTCTGTTTTTTCCAAATGACCTGTCAAAGGAGTTTCATGTACCAAACTCAAAACATGCTTTCAATATGAATTTGGGAGAAGAAATTGATGGCAAACCTTGCATTCATTGCAGTACATCTATGGCCTCTGTTTCCTCAACAAAACTGGAACTTTGTCAGCTTCTTCTAAAGAGGGTGCCCTGTTGGCAAGAGCTGTGAGTTCTGGGTCTTACCCCCTGTAACTTAACTAACTGCTGCTCCCTACCCAGAACTGGTTTCTCAACAGCCAAACTGTCAGAATTTTGAGTTCTCTCCGTTGAAAATTTAGACGTGTCAAGAGAATGATCCATAAAAGAGCCAGCCAAATTGTAAGTGGAATCATTCTCTGAAGAACTTTGCTTAGCCATAGCACGAGTAACAACACACGAAAGAAAAACACCTCAAATTTCTTTTTCAAGATTTTTAGTACTTTACAAAGTGTTAGGCTCAAGACAAACAACAGGATCAGCCAAACATGTTCCCCCTGCCAAATCATTCCCAATGAGCAAGTCTGCTCCATTAAAATGTTTCTACAACATGGAGAGGTGCACTGGTAAACCACATTAACCTAAGAGTTCGCTGATGACCCTTCAGAAAGCAGCAAAATAGTGAAAATATCATCCAAAATCAGAGTTTGAAAGCACAAGTATCCCTTAAAATGGTAATTGGCTTAACATTGGCACTGTCACCTTAAGCTGACACAACCTCTCTCACAACCCCAGACTTTGATGACTGGTCTACAACAGATAACTCCCAATTAGCCGAACCACAAAAAAGGCTGTGACCTGACATTCACAAAAGCATTCGGGGAAGAATGACTGCTCTTGAAGTGAGCTTTCTACACTCAGAAATGAAATGACCTGGCTTGTGGCAATATCTACAAGTAGGCTCTGAAGAAAAAATCCAGGAGTATCTTTAGAACCAACTTGAGTATAACTTGACATTTTGTCAACAAACTCGGAACCAGACTTGTTAGAGCCAGATCTAGGAGGGGATGAACTACCCTTTCCTGATATGTAAATCTATCAAAATCACCACTGACCTCCTTTGACGTACACCACCTATCCAACAGTTTCCTTGTCCCTTGCAAACTCAACAAAAGTAAGAACCATCCCTTTTTCTTAGCAGACCTAAACGTTTGCCTGCTTCAGCTTCAGGAACCAATTCATAAGCCTTCAAAACTTCAGACTTAACATCCTGATAATCAGATCTCCTATCAATACACAACACAGACTCACACAGCACACACACACCACATGCACACACACACACACACACACTCACACACACACACACACACACACACACACACAAGTTTGTTTGGTTATATATGTTGTTCATTATATGCGTTATGAACAAACACAATACATGTAACTGTGTCGCTATTGTGTTGATTCGCCGCTGATTGCATATTGCCAATTGTCAGTGACCCTTGACACTAAGTGAGATTTCTCAGTTCGCTATATACGTCACTAATTAGTGGTATTTGGGCGTGTCGGGGATCAGATACCAGTTTGCTATAAACATTAGTTTGCTGTGGAGATTTTCTTATATATGTAAATTTATATGATAATACAAAGGAGATAAATCCGGGATTTCGTCACAGTTCGTTGTATCCGTTTGTTCGCTCTATCCATGTTCGTTATATCCGTGTTCTACTGTACAATACTCCTGAACGCGACATTACAACCCCATTTCACACCTGACCACTTTGCATTATTCAACGTGAATAACCTAACACATTCGCCAAATCCTATTTTCATCAGAGTTATATATACTGATATTTATGTTTCTTATCAATATTATCTGAATGGCTTTCCAGCTGTCTCTTCCACATGTTACAGCAAGGTATGTTTTGGATCAATTCAGATTGAATTAAAATTATTTGCATGTACTTATTCATATTTTATTACATCATTTGGTACAATGAGTAGAGTAAATTGATGTAAAATGATTCAGGGGTAGAAACTAACATATATCAAAACCCTTAAAAATGGCAAATTTCTACTAGTCTTTATGATACCTTAACTGGTGGGCAGGTTGGCAAGGACTGCAGGACTAGTGCCAATCTCTAACACTGAAAAAGGTTGGGTAGCTATTAGGGGCAGCCAGTTCACAAATGGCTTCGGTGTTATATATGCTTTGTGTATCTGAAACAGGGCACTGATAGTAGTACAATGTGTTTACTCAGTTCATGGTTATTCTGCAAGATATGCTGTTGACATTGCAGGAAGAGAATTCCATTTTTCCTGTGTGTCATATATGATCCACATGTTCAGAGCTCCAGATAAGCTTTTGGTGTTGTGGGTATTTTACCTATGCATTTGAAAATCATTGGGTATCAGTAATTCTATCTGGGTATTCAAATTTCTGTTACCCACTAGTTTTTACACATGTGGGTATTTAAGTTAAATATTTAAAAACACTATTCATCTAGACCCTGCAAACTGGTGTCGTGTGGGTTCGAGAGCTTTGTAGGACTCAAAAGTACCACAATACTTCCACAAGAAAGTGTGATGGCAAATGATCATGATGTAACTGTCATCGTGGAGTTTGGCAAGGTTGACAGAATGCCCGTTATTAATTTCAAAATAAGTTGCTGATTTGCTAATCGAATACGCAGGGTTACTTCACAATATTTTGATGATACGCACAAGTTTTATTTTTGTAGCGTATCTGTAATGTTCGTTGTGTATTTGATACGCTTGGATTTTATTTTACTGCGTATTTCTGCATTTCTGATGCGTATTTTTATCTGGAGCTCTGCATGTTACTCTTAGGTCTTCGTCCTAGGTTAGACATGATGGCTGCGATATTATATTGGCACTAGTCCAATAGTCCTTGTTAAACTGCGAAATAGTTAGGTATCATAAGGACTATTATAGCTAAAATGGATAGAATTATCATTAAACTGCCTGCATGTTATCAGAAATCAGTTTTGCTACTATAAGGGTAACGCTATTTTTCAGGGCATTATCATTTGCATAAGACCTCAGTCTTTTCAACTGCTCTCCTTTGTCGGGCCATTAATGGAAGACCTCGTGCTTCTGCAAATGATAATGCCCTGAAAAATAGCGTTACCCTTAAAATAGCAATTTCCTGTTTTTCTATGTGTTGTCATTATAAGGACGAGAGGACTAAACAAGTTAGTTTCTATCGCTGGATGGCTATCTTTAAATTGATGCTGTAACTTCTCATAGACGTACTTGGGGGCACGGGTGGCTGTGCTGTGCCTTGAGTTGCGTCCCTTGGGCATGCCAGAACGGCTTTGGATAGTGGGTTGGACAGATTATGATTCTAGGTTTGTCAGCACCACCCCTCCTGCCACCAACTGGTGGGTTTCACTGAATGGTAAACATCTGAGATCTTTCCTCTCACATTAAGCTGACACCCTGTTATGTAACTGGAATACAGTTCAGAGTGGTGTTAAACCCAGCTGTGTCCAGTTGCGATGCACGGACAGGTAGTGAGGTTGTTACGTTGTTTCTTTGTTCCATCGTTCCATCACTCGTCTCCATGTTTCCAAAGCAGTGGCCTGAAAACCAATTGTTTCTACTTTTCAGCTTAACACAATGTGCTTTCAAGCCGCATGCTGATGATCTGATGGGTATTCATATCGTAACATCTGATAAATAGTGATCAATACTTGTGAGTATAACTTTATCTTGGTTTAACATGGTTTAGATGTTGTACATTGTTCATGATATTTTGGCTTTTTTAAGCCACATTATTTCTGCCCTATAAGACAAGCTGTTGTCTTTATCCATACCGTGAATATCAATGATGTTTTGTGCAAACCCCATCTGTTTCTCTACATTCCCTCACACCACTGCACACATTGACATTCTTTTTTCATAAGATGCAGGGGGTTCAACTGCGATTCTAAAGTTAGTGCTCATGGCAAGGAAAAATATTACTTTTTATGGGGGAAAAATCATTATTTTGTTCAAAATTGGGATTTAAAATAACCACATATTTTCGTAAATTCATAGGTATTTTAACATTGCATTCATTGCAGTAATGTAAAACTAGGCAATAATGCCTCTTCGACTGAATTAGCCCTGTTGTCACTGATGTTCAAGTTACCCCTACTAAGCCGTAACGTTTTAGACCCATGAAGATTCGGGGTTAGAATTGGTCTTCAGCTACCCATGCTTGCCGTAAAAGCTGACTATACTTGTCATAAAAGGCAACTGACGGGATCAGGTGGTCAGGCTCGCTGACTTGGTTGATGTATGTCATCGATCCCAATTGCATGGATCGATGCTCATGATATTACACACTGGATTGTCTGGTCCAGACTCGATTATTTACAGACCACCGTCATATAGCTGGAATATTGCTGAGTGCGGCGTAAAACAACAAACCAACCAACCATAACATTTTAACAAGAATTGGGAAATTTTAATTTAAGATACATCCCTGTAGTTGGTTAGTCTTGAAAACCTGGTTAATGAAAAATGTGGTTGCTGGACTGGTTACTCTCTACCTTACCCTTCTTGAGCTGGGGACAAGTCAGGGTGTCTTCCCCTGAGATTAGATTTAATGTACTTACTTAGAGTTAACCATTAATGGTTAAAATATACATATTATAACATTTTGAAAAACATATTGTTTTGAACTGTGTCAGTCTTGTCCAGAGTATTGTTGGTCGTGGAGTCAAAGAACTGTTAAAATACCTCCCTGAAGGACCAGAAGTCACTATTTTCTGATTTAAAAAATATATCTTGAGATCTTAGGACTCCTTACATTTTTTGTTTTAACATTATAATTTATTCAAGGACCCCATGACTTCAGATTTGAACACTGTAGCATGAGAAGTCAAATCCAGTTTAGCAGGGTTCATTTTGGACATTTTGGTTTATTCGATTATTCACTCACTCACCCTACCAACCACTCCCACACTCACTCACTCACTCACCCTACCAACCACTCCCACACTCACTCACTCACTCACCCTACCAACCACACCCACAGTAACTCACTCACCCTACCAACCACACACTAATTCACTCGCTCACTCACCCTACCAACCACACACTAATTCACTCACTTCCTCAAACACCCACACTCACTCACTCTTTCACTCACCCTACCAACCACACCCACGATAACTCACCCACCCTACCAACCACACACTAATTCACTCACTCACTCACTCACTCACTCACTCACTCACTCACTCACTCACCCTACCAACCACACCTACACTCACTCACTCACTCACTCACTCACTCACTCACTCAGTCGTCTATTGCGCCACTATTCACTGTGCAGAGTTGCGTCCCTTGGGCATGCCAGAAACCTATGATTGTGGGTTTGAATCCCAGTTTCACCCCAATTATGTTTCTAGGTTTGTCAGCACCATACCCATGCTCGTGGGTTTCACCAAAGTGGTAAACGCCTAAGACCTGCCTCAATTGCGGTTTCTTCCCACATTAAGCTGACACACCATGATATGACTGTTAAAAGCGGTGTTAAACACAACTCACTCACTCACTCACTCACTCACTCACTCACTCACTCACTCACTCACTCTGGGACCATATAGACAGTGCAACCCTGTGAATCTGGAAGATAGCGTTTCCTGTTGGTCATCTTTTACAGATTTCAGGATCAACAAATGATAGTTACTATGGTTGCAGAGTATTTCGCTTTGTGATTATGTCAGGTTCAAAGCAATAATTGTCCAGAAGGTGGGATTTTTTAGATTAGCAGGTTCCTGACTAAAGAGGTTTCACTCCATGTTCATTTTTGTGCATAATGAAGAAGCGATATATATTTTTTAAGCCAGAAATAAACCTAGCCTGACTACTGTCCAAAGCCATGACTACCTTTATCAATAAAGTTAATAATTAATGATGTTTGACATACACTTAAACTGTGCTGAAACTTATCAGGGCCAATATATCATGTCACCAGACGACAAGCAATCTAACCTCTTACTCCACGCAAAGCATATATACAGGGACCTGCTGAGAGGCATATATTTGGCACCAAGTCTGCAGCTAATTTCAGTCAAAATTCCCAATTTGAATTAAAAATGCACTAATACCTCAGAATTTACGAAAATAAGAACAGTAAAACAAAATCCAATTATGAACAATATCACAATTCTTTCCCAATTTGCTTGAGGGCACTTCATTTGGAATCCTAGGTAAATCCCTTATATATAGCCTGTGTATATATGCATGTTCGCATACTTAATCCTCACTTCCTTTAGTTCTTGTTTATCAGTTTCAGACCATATTAAACTGGGGCAAAACTAGGGTTTACCTCTGTCTTAGACTACCGTATTCGACGTAATAAGCGCCCGGGACGCTCTCAAAATTAGAAATAGGGGGCTCTTATTCATGGTTAATGCTGACAGCCTGAAATGATATAAAAGAAAAGTATGTGTGTATGAAGATTTAATTGCCTATAATTAAGGGTGCATATAACACACAAGTGCGTATTATACACAAATAAAAAAGTACTGTGTACATTGATCAATCGGAAGGGGTGCTGATTGGGATTGTTCACTAGCCAATATATTAGCAAATATCACCGTGGGCGCTTATTAGAGCAGGGCGCTTTTTACATCGAATATGGTAATGCATCATCTTTGAAAATATATAATCTGATAGAAACAAAAATAATTAAGAGGAGCCCAAGTGAGATGTGGAAAATCTAGATTTGTTTCATTTTAGCATTATAGTTAGAGCCGGGAAGAGAAAATAACATGGTTCAGGGACTGTTAGACTAGCCTTGAGATTTTCCCATTCCACAAAGTGATCGTAGGGCTACAATAGTCGTATGTCTACTTTAAAGCATGGGTCGGTTAGGATCACCTCAGCTCTATGACCGTTTTGTAGAACGTGACATGCTTCAATGACAATATTCTTCCCCTAGTCTGCAGCAAATGTCATTAGAAGTTCCCCTATTAAGAACTATGAAGTTACAATTTCATGTTTATGCACAGACTGTATACAGTATAGTTACAACTGATCTATTGGCTTTGTACAGTTGACTTGTATTTCACTAATAACAGTTCAATAATGGAAAAGAGGTTTCAATGATTAGGTTCACATTACTGGATCAAATTTCAATGTCAATGTCAATGTCAGTATAGAATGTTAATTTCAAGGAATTAAAGAAAATAACCACTTATAAAAATCCCAATTTTGAACAAAATAACGATTCCCAATTTGTATGCCAACGGGCACTTAGTTTCAAGTGCTAGGAAGATCTCTGGTATATGTGCAAACTCTAGGAACTTTGGGGGTCCTAAGTGTTAAAAAGTGGGTCTAGGGTAACCCCTGTACCAACAAGAAATAAGATACATGTGATGTCTTCTGTGTATTATTGATGGGGATGTCCTTCTTTAAATCGAAACTTTGTGAATGAGTGAAAACATTTGACATGGACTGTCCAAACATTGTTTAGACCGCCTCCGTGGTCTAGTGGTAGAGCGTCCGCCCGGAGAGCGGAAGGTCCGGGGTTCGATCCTCGGCCGCCAAATACAAAATACCAAAATACATTAAAAGATGGTACTTGTTGTTACCCTGTCTGGCGCTCGGCCTTAAGGGGCTAAACAAGGACTGGTCGGCCCAGAGTCAGTATACTGTGTCTGAGTTGGATATTCTGTTAAATTGGGGCATGGTATCTCAGTGAGTTAGCACTATAAATCGGCATCAGTCTGGACTAGTACAAGCAGCAACACACACACACACACACACACACACGTCCATGCACATTGCTATATAAGTGCAATAATCTTGGACGCGGCGTTAAACCAAATTTCACCTCACCTCACCTCATCAAACATTGTTTGTATCTCTTATAGAAACAGAAATATGAGATAAAGCTTGTTTCAAATTGAGAAGCTTCAATCGTTCCGACAATCCACCCCCACTTGCCCAACTTTGGGTATAGAGGATTAACAGATTAGGGTATTGTCTGTATTAACCTTAGCTGGATGGATTGTCACAGAAGCATACAGTAAGCATACTAACTACTACTAAAACATATTTAAAACATTGAAATGTTGTGGATTGACACAGAAAACAAACAAATAGTGTAAAAATGTACATTAATAAAACATACTTAAGCATACAGTAAAATAGAAACTAAAATAGGACTTTATTTTTGCCTACTTTATGCATTAGCGATGTACAAGATATTAACCTGTTCGCCAGCCATGGTAACATGGTAACGGTTCATCTGTGACAAACTCTTATATGCCTACCTATGTAAAGCCTATTTATTAAATGTCCTGCAATTTTCACATGTACAATTTTCACATGATTTTGATTTCAAGTCACTAATTAGCGCATGCGACATAGGTTGAGTACCGCTCACCAGAAACTGACTATAAGGAAACCAACTATTGTTCTTCAGTCTTCTGCCTGATGTTTTATCAATGTACATCTTCCCGAGGCAAGAGAGTGAACTGACTATAGAAGTCCAGTTTCCACCCTTGCAGAACTAGGCTGGTTTTATGGAGTTACATTTTGGCTGGACTAACGAGTCAATGCATAGTCCAATCAAAATCGCAGACCGAAATCGAAATCCGGTTCGTGAACTGTCGTGCAGATTTCAGTCGATTGCAGGATTTGCAAAGCATGTGCACCGCCAACTCGTTTTCCAAATCTTTTCATGTTTTTAAT